CGATGTCCTCTGCACGCTGGTGTGGGTGTTGAATCCCCAAGCCCTTGGGCAACTCTGCTCCTACAGCTTCCCTGTTCTCAGACCACACTTCAGCTCTCCCAGCCTGATGTTCCACTAGGAGCTCCACAGGTCTGGGGTCTCCATGGCAGTCCCGCTCTCATGGCTCCACTAGGCACGGTGATGATGGGGCTTCTCTGCTGCAACTCTGACCCCATGTTTCTGTGTGGCACTGCCCTAGTGAAGGCTGTCTGTGGTGACTCCGCCCCTGTGACAGATCTCTTCCTGGGCTCCCAGACTTTTCCATACATCCTTTGAAATCAGGGTGGAGGCTCCCAAGCCTCCACAGTTCTGGCATTTTGCCAGCCTGAAGACAACACCACATGGACGCTGCCAAAGCTTCCAGCTTTTATCTTCCAAAGCTGCAGGTCCAACTCTTTACAAGAGCCAAGAGTCGGAAGCAGCCCAAATGTCCATCATCGGATGAGGGGATATGGAAACTGTGGTATATCTACACAATGGAATACTACTCAGCTATAAAGACAAATGAAATACAGCCCTTTGCAACAACATGGATGGACCTTGAGAGAATTATATTAAGTGAAACAAGTCAGGCACAGAAAGAGAAATACCACATGTTCTCACTTATTGGTGGGAGCTAAAAATAAATAAATAAATTCACACACACACACACACAAAAAAAAAAGGGGGGGAAGAAGATATAACAACTACAATTCCTTGAAGTTGATACGACAAGCAAACAGGACATTGTTGGGTGGGAGGGAGGTTTCGGTAATGGGCCACAATAGTCAACCACATTGTATATCAACAAAATAAAATTTAGGGCCGGTCCAGTGGCGCACTGCTACAGTGCACCGCTTGGGAGCTCGGCAGCGCTCCCGCCGAGGGTTCGGATCCCACATACAGACCGGACACTCACTGGCTGAGCGAGGTGCGGGTGCAACACTGAGGGTTGTGATCCTGTTGCCGGTCCCGGTCCGGTGTGGGCGCGACACTGAGGGTTGTGATCTCGTTGCCGGTCCCGGTCCGGTACGGGCGCGACACTTAGGGTTGCAATCCGTTGCCGGTCACGAAAAAAGACAAAAAGGAAAAAAAATAAAATAAAATTTAAAAAATAAAATAAATAAAATAAAATAAAATAAAAAATAAAAATAAAAAAAAACAAAGCTGCAGGTCCAGCCACACCTGCGGCCAATTTAGCCATGGCTGGAACAGCCAAAGCAGCTGGGGTGCTGGTGCTGGAAGCAGCTTCCCGAGGTGGCCCTGAGCAGTGAGCCTGTGGAGGGCGCCTCAGGCCTGTCCCCCAAGACCATTCTGTTTCCCTAGGTCTTTGAGCCTGAAATGGAGGGTTGGCCCCAGAGGCTTCTGCAATGCCTTCAGGGCCTTTTTCCCCTTCTCTTTATAATCCCTTTCTTTTTTTCTAATCTTAGCCCCCCGGCATTTTTTTTTTTTTTTTTTTTCTGAAAATGCCCTCTGCTTCTCTACCAGATGGCCAGCTGCAAATTTTCCAAATCTTTACCCTCTCCTTCCCTTTCAAATTGGTGGCTTTATGTCATGCCTTTGCCACCATAACTCAGAGTAGCTGTGCAGCTTCCTGAATGTTCTGCCACTTAGGAATTTCTTCCACCAGCTATTCTGGTTCACAATTCTTATGTTCCACCTTCCACAAAGTCCTAGGCCATGGACACAATGCAACCAAGTTCCTTGCCAGTTCATAGCAGCAGTGATCTTTGCCGTGGTTTCCAAAAAGCTCCTTATTGCTCTCAGAATGACCTTCACAGTCCATATTTCTATCATCACTCTGGTCACCATCATTTAACCAATCTCTAAGACATTCCAAACTTTCCCGGGTTTTCTTGTCTTCTTCTGAGTCCTCCAAACTACTCCAACCTTTGCCTAATACCCAGTTCCAAAGCTGTCTCCACATTTTCAAGTATTTGTTATAAGCAACACCCCACTTCTCTGGTACCAATTTTCTGTATTAGTCCATTTCTGTTACTTATAACAAAATACATGGAACCAGGTGACTTATAAGAAAATGAAATTTATTGCTTACAGTTTCAGGGCTAAGGAGTCAAAGTCCAGGGAACACATCTGGTGAAGGCTTTCTTTGGTGGTGACTTTAGTAATGTCAGGGTATCACATTGTGAAAATGGAAGAGCAGAGAGACAGACTCTCCTCTCCCTTAAAGCCCTCAGAAACATGCACCCTGACCACCATTTTTTTTTTTTTTTTTTTTTTTTTTTTTTTTTTTTC